TAGCTTCGATAAATGAGTAATTATTGTCTTTCTTGAGATTTTAGGAAACTGTAGTTGACAGTGAATACATTCCAAATAGAATTATAATTGACAATGATAATTTTTTTTAATAAAACTTTTTTAATACGTATTTTACGACATTTCTTCCATAAAGCGAAATTTGAGAGATTTTGTAGAATGTTACTTAGCCGTGTTATATTTTGTAGTGTGTATTGTCTATTTAAATTAGATAGGACTGTTTTGATATTATTGTGCTGTTTTTTAAAGAAATTCCAAATGCTAGCTGAATATTTTTAAGTAACATAACTAAATAATGTTAGTTTTATGAAGAATTTTAATGAAACAAAAAGCTTTTCTGTCCCTTGCGTCTTAATATATTTATTCACATGTTTTAAAGATTGATGGTGGTCGGGCCAACTGGCGGGTCGCTTTGCTAAATCTATTTTTGTTTTTCAAGAGTCCGTGACACACATGGTGTGAAACGCTTTTGTCCTGGCCGCACATGGTCAATTACCCACATTAAGTGGGACAATGTGCTATTTTAAAATAGTTGAAAAGAAAAATTCTTTTAATGGACCGCATCTTAGATTAATTGTATTAATTATTAATCCTTTTCATTTTGTGTAGCGACGTTAAATGAGTATAAAGAATTACGGCATGTTATGAATTAACATATTAAAAATAAATTTGGACGCATATACAATATAGTATCTTCATCCTTATCAGTATTGAAACAAACAAACGCATCTAAACATTCTATCACTATTTTTGTATATTATTAATTGTCTTAATTCTTAATTTATTATTAGTTTTGAAAGATCGGTGTGGTTAATTTAATTACATATAAAAACAACAGTGCATGTAATCTACAAATTTATGCCCGATTAGTTAACTAATGATTTAGGGAAGCAAGGCATGGTCGCTTTTCTGCGACACTTAGTAACCTACTGCCAAACTGCTGCGTCTGTTAAAGTTATTACCTATAGACTTAGCCTTTCGAGATATATTGTGTATAAAGTTAACCTCTTGTATATATTATTAGATGTCTGTGTGTGTTGTCTTTATTGTGACGTCATTTTTGTTTTGGGTAACTCTGCTCAGATTAAATTTAATCTATGAAAATCTATCCTCACCGTTTGAAGACTTAGAACGCGGAATTGTGATTTACACAGAAGTCGCCATTATAAATAAAGTGAAGTGAAGTAAGAAATGTTGCCGACCTTTATATTTGTTATCTAATAAATAATAGATAGAGTATCCTTGCTATGGTGCTACAAATTATTTTATTGTGGTAGGTCACGTAATAAAGCGATTAATTTAATTAGTTACCCACATATTAATATCCGTTTAGAGGGTTATTTCCGGGGAACTTTCAAATGAGGAAATAATTTATCTGTTATAGCAATTAGTTTAGAAAAAATATTTGTGAGTACCAACACCCCTATACGTGTGAATTTTAGAAATTTCCATGATTGTATATAGTGAAAGGATTCCCTATGGATTAAGTAATAAAGGCTATAATTAAATGAGGTATTTTACTGTTTGTATTATTAGTTAGCATAGTTAATAAATAGTGGACAATAAAATTTCGTATGGGAAGCCCAAATATTGTTTAGTTAACAAAGTTTAAATCATTTACTAATGGGCAGATTATAAACAAAAGAAAATCCTGTTCACATTATATTCGTTCTTATACAGGAAATTTACACCCTCTGTCTAATGTAACTTAAATCAGTATTAATTCTTCTTTTTCTGCCGAATTATCTAAACTCTATGATTTTATTAATAAGAAGTAAGATTCAAAAGCTAGGCGAGGGCGAAGTCTGAAGTGTGAGTACGTAAAAATTATCGGATTTTGACATACAATTCAAAAGTCATTTATTCATCTAGGTACAATTTGTACACTTAAGCATGTCAATTTACGCCATCTCACTATCTTATAGCGGCATTAGTGCCCACACATAGTTATCGTCTACGTATTCTTGAACTGTGTAATATCCTTTTTTATTAGGGTTTCCTTGACCTAAAGTTTAAGCATATGTAGCGGAAGTTTGGTTACGGGAGTCAGTTGGTTAGTTCGCGTTCAGTTTCGTTTCTTAATATCATTAACTTGCAAGATTTGCGGGAGAGAAATAATATTTGGAACTTATGCTTTTAATTGAATGATTTTGCTGAATTTCTAATAATTGTTATAGACTCTTATTATATTTTTGCATGCATGCTATTTATATTACTCCTGTATGTCAAAATCGATTACCTACCTCCTCTATCTCTGCGACTTTAATGAGATTTAGCTGCGAATCTGGCGCCAAAAGGACATTTATATAATGAAAAATACAGTTAATGTTTTTTAATCTTAAAAAACTTACAAACTTAAAATGATTTTCTCCTTAAAGTTCTAAATTCTTAAATTGATGTTTCAGTTCAAATGATATTAATATGTTTCTGTAATGAATACTTTGTCACATTATCTGGCTTCACAAATTAGTAAAAAGTTTTCACTATCATCATACCAAAAACAATAGAACAAAAAAATAAAAACTTAGCGAAGTTTGACATTAAATATGTTTCTCTATTGCCATAATATTAAAAAAAAATATATGTTTCTAAATACGACTATTTAAACTTGGCTTGGCCGCAACTCGGCTAAGCGACTTTGACAGACTTAAAATAAAGACTGAACCTTAGGGTAAACTAAATTTTTATTCTTACACTAAAAGCTCAGCCTAATTTTATAAATAATCACAGTAATTACCACTGATTTTACAGGATTACTTAAAATGTCTCGCATAAAACACGTGTGAAGATAATTAGCTTTTAACAAAACACAAACGGTGCTACTTTATAATTTACGGCTTCACAAAAATAGACAAGCTGTAACTGCATCACAGACAACTTATAAGTTGTGTATGGTACAGATTGACATTTGACTAATTTGTACGACTTTTACAAATACATTTAGCTATTACAAAAATACAGTTTATTTTTGTTGTATGGATATTGTAATATAGGGCTATGCTTAATGGGGTAAATATCATATGTTTTACTGTCATTATGAGTGTTAAAGGATTTAAGATATTGATCAAAAGAAATATGTCATGACTAATTTAAGTCTTTAATAACAAATTCTCAACTGTCAACTTGGTGACGCAGGCTTTCAATGTATTTTATAGATGTCAAGTAATCAAGTGAAAAGTATTCCTTTAAGACCATTAAATAAGGTTGACGTAATACATAATAATTAAATTAAACATTTCCTCCGAAAACAAGAAATGTTTAATGGAATAGCATTTTAAATACATGCCAACTGAATACCAAATCAATCAGATTCGTCCCCCTTCGTCAGTATTTATCGATTTTTTATATGGAATCTGAGATCGAGTGCTTTCAACTCTACATGTTTGATTCCATTCATTAATTTACGATCTCATATAACTATTCCAACAGAAATGCATTGTCAATCACACGCCACCCTCGTTATTTAGAGAAGGGTTGATTCCATACTAAAGTCTGATAGTTCGCTTGGTTTTAAACAAAGAATGCGTATGCGTTTTTATTATGAGACAAATGTTGTCTATGGGTTGGTCGCGTGGCCTTGTTTATAGGGAACGTTCTTAGGTCTTTATATTATGTATCATAAATAATTTATTATTGATTTACCTAAACAACTTGTAAAAAACCTAGACAGAAAAACCATACACAGATATAAATATATAAAAATTTAAGACTTAAGCACAAAAACTTTAAATATAAAATATCATAATTGTTACTTGTTCTTTAAGATTTTAAGAGAGTTAAGCCAACTTTTGAGAGTTCCACTTATAATGCGTAAGCACTGCGGGCGGTACTAGGCAGCTGCGCTTGCGCACGTGGCTCGTCGGAAGTTGCAACACGCAATGAACACCATTGTTTTATATCCGCGCATGGCTAACCTCCTCGTGTGAAGACTAAAAATATTAAAAAAATTGGGGAAGCAGAATTTTAGGAATATCACGATTAACATTAATGTTGCAAATATAATCAATCAAATATTTAAATCAATTTAAAAATGTATTACTATACGTAGTCAATGCTAAGAACCTAAAAATAACATTTAATCCCCTTTAAAAGTTGGAATATTGTAATAAACTACGAAAATAATTTGTATTGTAGCTATTTAATAGTAGATTAATAAAAATATTGTTTTACGTAATTAACTTTTAGATATTAGTGCAAATTCGAAATTGGATTCAGCTATATTTACATTTTAGGTAGTGATGTTGAAATTAATTGTAACAAATATAAGACGTAATATAAGAAAATGATTCGCCAGCTATATTAGGGTTCATAAATAACATTCTTTGTTCCCCATACTGGCATCTTATTGCACATTAATCGGAGGGTGCCACCCTTTGGAATGCCACGTGCAGTTATTTTTTGCACTCTATATAGCGTTTCAAATCTTTTAACGATTATAATTCTACCACAGTCCTGCCCGTACATAATATCCTTATTAAAGTAAGATGAATTTCAATCTTCTAGCAAATGTGTATCGATTCGAAACACAATTATAATAAATACAATAATCGTTTAATCACAACCGATATACAAATCAAAATAAGTACTATAAGAAATAAAAGGTATAATTTCCCACAATATAATAACGAAATATAACAAAGAAAAGACAAAAATTATCAATTTTAAATAGTTTAGCCAATAGCCACATATTTTTAGAGCGCTTTACTAAACTTTATCAAATGCTATTGTAAAATTAATAATAGTCACAGTAATGAGTAAACAAATGATTGGTCGGCAACAAACTTCAGGGTCCTCCTGCAACACAGTGGTCACCCACACATAGACCCTACCCTACACACACAGTCGGGAATCAACATGAACTCGTCGCAACTTGCACAGGCTGTTTACTTTATGGCATTTTATTCGTTCGCCGGCGTTCGTTAAGAGCGGACGTGTCGCTTGTAACAAAGTTCAGTGTCGTGTTGTGCTTATGAACTTTCAAGATGGTGCGAAGCTTGTCGCAGTGGACGAAGACGCTTAGCTTTCCTTCGAGGCTATCTCCCAATCGCACCTCTAAGGAAAGCGTTGTCAATGTACAGCCAAGCTCTCCCGGGGTATCGCCTACGCCTAGTGCTTCATCCCTCCCGCAAGGATCGGAAAAAACAATTTCGCCGATTCCTATCACAGAAATCAGTCAAATCGTAAGTTCCTCTAACCTTTAGCTATTATTGATATGGGTGATATTAAGCCTGCATAATAATTATAAGTTTATTTTTCCATTTTCTAAATAGAATATTATCTCAAATTTGTCTCTACTTAGATAATAGTATGTCTTCTTGAATTCTGAGTCGTGAGTGTATAGAAGAATATAATATTTAATTAGACAATATTCCTTCATAATGTCCAAATCGTAATCGACTTAGTAACAAATAACAATGAAATATGTTTACAAACAAACAATAAGTAGTTCATCCCTTAAAACCGCGATAGCACAGTTAAAAGTAACTGGTTTTCCTTTAAAGTCAGTGTACGTGTCCGAAATGCAAACCGAGGTACGCCATATTAGCTGGCTATTAAGCTATATCTTTGAAAGGAAATGAACTATACGTGTTTCGTTTCTCACGGGTAGCCTCAAGTGGTACTTTTACCGAGTGGCAAATTAATGTTCCATTGAAGCCTTTGTTTGTAGGTTAACAACCGTGTATAGTGCGCGGCCGGCAGTGGTTATACAATAAAGCGGTGTTGTATGAATGTTTATTACAGTGGTAGAGGCAGCCGGTGCGCGGCGCAGCGCACCGTTATATTTGTCCCCTTGCAATCACCTTGGCAAGGCCGCACAGAGATGCGAGTTTTTGCAAACCATGATACCTAGCACATGACTTTCACCTTTTAAGATGCCTTTCTAAATACTGAAGTGTCGGATTTAGGTCTTTTACTGATTTTACAAGTGTGACGTTTTTTAGTATGTAACCCTCAAGTTATTTGACATAACAGAGTAGCTAGCGTGTTGTCCATTTTTATTTCGATCTCGTTATCAATTAGTACGTCGCGTTGTTTAAAATATATAATATCATGTCTCATTATTATTAATTATACCTATTATGTCTATTATCAAACACAGCCTCAGTTTCGCATGCCCAAATTGTTTACAAATTAGAAAAGGATTGCGAATTAAAATTAATCTAATAACAAACGGGAATTTTAACTTATATACAAAAGTAGTATCGCAACAGCTATAAAACACCCTGTCCTAATTTAAAATTATACAAGATGTTACACCTACGACACGAGGAAAGTAATAAACTTAAATTTATTTGTCATCGTAAAATGTACATTAATTTCGAGTGCATTTTTAAAGACATGTGATGGAAAACATTTGGTGCGAATGTCTGTATGGAATGCAGACTGCATTTCATTGATACAGGCTTGAATACAAAGTCCGTCAATGGTCAGGGCTTACAGATGGCGACTAAAATTGCAGTAGACTCTAAACATCAGTAGATTTTTAACGAAATAAAATGAAAATAATGACTTAAAAAGTGTCTATATTTTTTAGTTTAAGTTGGAAACTTCTTACAAAATTTTATTACATGATAATAATAAACAGAAATTATTTAAGTTTGGTCTCTGTGGCAGTGTACCTTTAATACTGGCAGGTTATTGCTATGTAGGTTAAGACTTAAGAATATTGTATATTTGTGTGTTGGAAATATTTTTTAGAATTATTTATTACATTATCTCCTCAAAATGTAAACAAAATACCTACTAGTTTAGAAGTTCAAAATATCTGTGCCTTTTCACATTATAGATTACAGTAACTCTACAGTAAACGTATGAACCAAGAAGCACTAGTCTTCATTAAGTTAGCTCACGACAGACTTGACAATTGACTGTCGTGTTAAAGTGTTTAAACAACAGAATCTTTGATGGTGTCGTATGCATCGCAACTCACGCACTAATGGCTGTCACAGATAACTTTCTCGATTAGCGATCAAGATATTTATCGTGATTCATAAAAAAATATTTTTCTCGCTTTCTCAATTATACCTACAATTGTATCCGCTTGAAACTAGATAAAAACAAAAACTTATTAGTTATTACGATCTAAGTGTTAGTGATAACCTGACAATCGCTTTTATAACTTTAGCCCGGAAAAAAGTCACATAGCGTAGCAATATTTTATAGGTATTTTATTGTCTGTGGAAAGAACATCTGCGTGTCAAATTCCTGGATGCCATGTGCAAGCTACTGGTGGGAAGCGAACCGTGCACACATGACTTTAAAATTACAATTTGAAAATGGAACGCATGGTTTACTTGTGGTCTATGATAAAATGTTTTTCAATCGATAGAATACGTCTTTGGATACGTCTTTGGATAGTCATTATAATGATATCATACAAACAATCAGTTTTAATCCGACCTACCAGTTAACATTGTTGAATATTAAACTCAATTTAGTATACAACTAACCTTCATTATTTATTGGAAATTGTATATTTCAATTAAAAAGTGGAATAAACAATTCTGTAAAATTAATATTATTTATTAAATTAATAGTGCGACGAATTGCTTACTAGTGAACGAAGAGGGTGCATGTTTTTATAACGTCAGCTGTTCGATGACATCCCGGTAAAGAGGATCCCTATTGAAACCCATTCAAAAGATATGTCGATGAAGCCTTTAGAATTACCTAGTTATAAAAAATATCAGCTGTAACAGAGAAAAAATCTTATAACTTACTTTTTAAACATTTGAAGAGGATTTAAACAAAGGAATTCACTTCTTCAGAACTATCGCAAAGATTTGTGAAAACCCACATAAATACTTTTATTTATCGTACATATAATTATATTAATTATACGTACATATAAAAATATTAACTTCTGTCATACAAATACGGTTCAATAGTTGTTATAGTAATCTATGACTATCATTATTTCATCAACTAGATTGAAATGGTTAGTAGCAAATAAAGTCACGTCGTAACGCATTTCAAGGCGTTGCGTGTGCGCTACGAATCAGTAAATCATCAGTTTTCGAAGGCTGTTGTTGTAATTGGATATACTATCAACCTTTGAACCAGACTCTAGTTACTAGATGACAATTGCAATATTTCTGCGAAATAATTTGATGTTAATTGAAATCGCGTGTTCGAGGTCCCATAAGGACCGTGGATTTATTAAACAATTAATAAATCAGATTTCTGTATCTGTTTCATGATCATTTTTTAATCAGACTCCTGTGCCCGCCATTTTTTGGGTCTAAAACAAGCAGGTTTCCTCAAAATACTTTCGTTCACCGTTCGAGCGAAAGTTAAATACGCACATAGAAATAAAGTCCATTGGTGCACAGCCGAGGATCAAACCTACTGCCTCTGGGATGATGATGAGGCCAACACTGAGTATCATGAATAGGTAATTCATTACATATTTACGATCGTATTTTTATCAAAATTTACGCTTACAAGTTACATTACTTGCTCACTAAAACAAGAACGTCAGTTTATTGATTTTTATTGTCTCATAATTATAGGCTAACAACCATAATCAGAGTTGTACATTAAATAATCTGGGTAATAATTATAATTAAACATAATTAATAACTGTAATTTTAGCCCTTATTAACATTTCTAACGTCTACGTCGCAATTCACCTCAACATTGCGTAAACAATTTTGCAAAACTGCTAAGAATCATATGCTTATCGTTATGTGAATTGAGCAAGCGACAAGGAATAACGTTCAATATTTGATTAGGTCAAATAAATATTGGTTACAGATAAGCATTATCCATACAACATATATTCTTGTAAAACTTTTTTAATACTGCGATTGATACAAAATAATAATAAAGCCCCTTTTTTTTTTTATTGCTCTTAAAGCCCCTTTTTTTCAATCTTTACAAATGTTGAATATACAGTTTAGATTTGTTATTTTTTTTATTGTTACTCTTTATTAAATTCAAGTACCATTAATCGGAACCTCTTCACGGGTAAAGCTTATACCATGGCTTTCTTTCTACACGCGCCTTCTGTTAGCGTTGAAAAAGCACACACAAATTTGACCTGTATTTGTTATCCCTGTCATTGTCAGAAATTACGAATATTACCCAAATACCTTTCACACAATTGAAACAAATGCGTGATCCGATAACATTTATCTGCAATATCAAAGATCATCACAGACTACAAATCTACGAGACTTCAATCGATGTCGAAACTGATTACCTACTTTAGTATAAAAGAAAATTTATAATAGAGACGAGAAATTGAGTTTATACGCACTATCTAATATATAAAATTCTCGTGTTACAATGTTAGTTACTATATTCCTCCGAAACGGCTTCACCGATTTTTATCAAATTTTATATGCATATTCAGTAGGTCTGAGAGTCCGGCTTCTATCTATTTTTCATACCCCTAAGTGATAAGGGTTGTCCACCCCTAACATTAAATTTTTATTTTTTGGAAATTTAATTTAATTTTAATTTTTTTATAATGTGCCATTAAAAAATACACACAAACCCTAAATTTTCACCCCTCTATCACCAACCCTTATTTTTTATTTGTTAATTAAAATCGTATGACTTGAACTCTGAGGTTTATATAGAGAAAAATGTAGTCTAAGTAAAATAACATTAAGGAGAAACGAAGTTGGCGGGGGCTAGTTTTATATATTATTTCTTTATATCTTCTCAGTCATTCACTCACATACACCCACACAATCACGCGTGTTACGCGTCGCGTAATCCCTTTTGTTAAAAAAATTGGAAGAAGTTTTTGTAAACAGTTTAAAAAAGTTTCAAAATTGTTATTGAAGAAACAATATTTTTTTTATGGAAATAACTATTAAGTTTGTCATGGAAGAGCTGGGAACCCTGACACAGGTTTTTTTTACTTAAAAGGGTTCACAAATCTTACACATTATAATACATTGCTATAATGAAAAAACACATTTTTATTTTAATAATAATATATAGTCTTACATAAATATAACACATAATTGACTAGTTACTAGTCGCCTAGTATCAATGCTACCCTTGATTCATAATACTCCAATATCAGCGGATGTGTTACATGATATACGGGATATTTCTATATCGGTGCGGATGCGAAAAAAATAAGATTGCATTTCCGGGACAGGGATGATAATCGCGTGATTAAATTCCATTCGAGTGTGATAGCTAACACAAATAAAACGAGATGTGATTTGAATAAGTCCAA